CCAGTTATATATATACTATATAATGTAATTCAAATATAGGGATGATTTATATCTCATCATCTGCATGCGGCACCGAATTACTGACACGGAAGTACCTTTACTATTATACATAATGCAACAGCAACAATTTAACCGTAAAACCATAGTATATTTTATTTATAACAAGTAATTAACAAGTGGAAGATATTAATAGATATATATTAAGAATTAATAGATATATATTATAAGTACATTAGTGCAATGATTATTTTGTTGGAGGGAAGCGCAGGTCAGTATCCTTCAGGTTGTCCTCGATCCATTTCTCAGCTTGCTGCGACATCTCCTCGTCGAAATAATCTCGCCATCCTCCCGCTTTACCTGGGATCAGAGACAAAAAATATAAGATACTATACTTTCATAGATAGCTATAACCGGTATAAGTTACGTAACATAACATCACGCCTTTTATCCCCGAAGCGGTAGGCAGAGGTGCACAGGCACTTAATGCCACCGTACAATGTAACAGACACTTTTCACAACTTAAGTTATAAGTCCCATGTAATAGGGGGTGAGCCTATTACCATATACCGGGGACAATTTGAGACTCCGTGCTACTACTGAGAAATTAAAAAAAAACAGTAATACCTACTTGCCCGACTTGGGAATCGAACCCAAGACTCCATGCCCAGCCTTAGAGTATTTTTGGTTAAATACTCTAAGTTCTCAGCCAACGAGGCAGTCTATACTAAAATAATATAAATAAGTTACTTAAAAATTTAAGGATTCCAAAATGCAGAGGGTATATATAGTTAGGTTAGGTCAGTAGTAATTGGCGGTTTTAAAAATCCCAGATAAAACGTTAGATACTATTACTACAAATAATTTAAAACAGTAAATGAAATCTCAACATTGTACAACATGAAGGACTCGAAGAGCCAGTATTTGAATTATCAAACCGTTGATGCACCACCACACGTTGCCATGAATAAAATGTTAGGCTCTTATTCCTTTTTAAATTCAACATACATACATAACTTCACGCCTGTCTCCCATGGGGGTAGGTAGAGACTATGGAACTACGATTCCTACATACATCTTTCGCTTCATCAACGGTCATTAATCTTTTTATGCTATTCGTCGGTGTAAAAAAATCATAAAATTTAACATAGTCCGGTGTACCGGTATGTAGGATTATAAGATGAAAAAGAGGTATTCATTGAATTACTTGAACCTCCGACCATTCAGTTGAAGTAACAGACGTGATATACTTACCATCAGGTGATCCGTCTGCTCGTTTGCCTCCTATTCCATAAAAAAAATCTTACTTTACTTTGCTTACCTTTTCTAATAAACACTTCGTCTTTCGTCATCATACCGAACTCCCGCAGGCCCTCGTAATTGACAGACTTATTGTTTTTGAAGTTCTCGAAGCTGAGGTGGTCGCACAGGCGAGCCATCTGCTCCTCCGTCACCTTCTTGCCTAAGAAGTCTGCCACTCGATTTATGCTTGTTTTCAAGTCCTACAATAACATGATGTTTACAATAAGTACAAACAAATAGTCTTTCATGATTCTTAAAAAGTTATGGTGCTTACTTATCACATTGCGAATAGATTCAGCCTCTCTGACATGCGATATACAGAAAAGATATTCTCTTGTTATAAAAGTGCGATATCAAGACGCGCGCTTAGCGCTTGTCATCTTAGCCTTACTATATCTTCGTCAATAGGTAAAAAGGTTAATTATCAGGTTATTAATCAAGTTCTTTCTATAACAAGTACCTATTAATGGTGTTGAAATATAATAAATGTAGATCATCCATCATTAATAAATAGTCATCAGAACCTGGAAAAAACACCGTTAATAGGTACTTGTTATTTTTATAATAATATAAAACATAATAATGTATACCGTTAATAGGTTCTTATGACTTTTCATTAAGCCTTTGAATGCCAACAGAAAACTGCTGAAGGCAAATCCTCCGCTAACGTATATCACCGGTGACCTACGCGGCGGTTGACGTGTTAATAATGAATGATCTACATTTATTATATTTTGTTTTTTTTTCTGAATATTTTATGTCCTTTCGTACCTTTGTCAGTTCTTCATAGAACAAAAACAGCATATTTGGATGATGTCTTAAATTCCAGGCTTCTTTTACGTGTTCCAAATATGGAGTCATCGGAACTGAAAGATAAATCAATGGAAATCAATAAGACACTGTCATTTAAATATGTAGTGACTAGCTACTTCCCCGCGGTTTCACACGCTCTGCTCAGCTCCTATTGGTCGTAACGTGATGTTTTATAGCCTATAGCCATCCTCGATAAATGCGAGACTTGTAGTTACGGAGATTAGCGCGTTCAAACAAACAAACAAACAAACAAACTCTTCCGCTTTATAAAATAGTACTAGCTACTTCTGCGCGGTTTCACACGCTCTGCTCAGCATCTATTGGTCGTAGCGTGATGTTTTATAGCCTATAGCCATCCTTGATAAATACGCTATCCAACACAAAAATAATTATTCAAATCAGAGTTGTAGTTACGGAGATTAGCGCGTTCAAACAAACAAACAAAAAAACAAACTCTTTCACTTTATATAACAAGTATTAGATAAGATATTTAAAAAAAATGAGCTATAATACATACAGCGGTTGTTTTTGAATAAATTCCAAAATTCTTTGAAGGTTCCTGCGAAGTCGAATACTACAAAGAGTCTTGCATGGTGGTATGAAGAGACGGCGATATCTCTAGGGTCTCTTGCCACGTACACCACCTTGGCCGTATCCACTATGGTGGGATTCAAGCAGCACATTGGTAGGTGCGTCTTAATATACCTAGGAGACGGCATCGACGCCAGTTTCTCCATGACTGGCTGTGTCATGACTTGCATCGCATTTATGAGATGTTCCCTCTTCGACTCCTCCACTTCGTGGATGTTCGCCAAACGATCCTTTTTCCACTCGATGTAGAACATGAAAATTCTGGAACAGATATTACTTTTCGTCATCACACTGTTTCATTTTATTTGGTTGAATGGTTACAAGAGCAGTTATAAAATGTATGGCCTACCATACATTCTTGATGCGAAACAAAACGGGGGCAGTCTTATTAAGTTTTTTATTCTAGACATTATAAGTGTGGGAGAGCCATGCTTCGGCACGAATGGGCCGGCTCGACCGGAGTGATACCACGGCCTCACAGAAAACCGACGTGAAGCAACGCTTGCGTTGTGTTTCGTCGTGTGAGTGAGGTTACCGGAGGCTCAATTACCCTCCCCTTCCCCAATCTCCCTAATTCCTGAATTCCCAACGATCCTCAAACTCCTAATCCCCAAAAGGCCGGTAACGCACTTGTAACGCCTCTGGTGTTCCAGGTGTCCATGGGCGACGCCAATTGCTTACCATCAGGTGTTCCGTCTGCTCGTTTACCGGCTTATGCTATAAAAAAAAGTATATATGGAATAAATGCCGGGGTTTTTATGGGGTTTAACAACTACTTTTATACTTTTAATACTTTTTCATACCTACACCTAATTATCTTCATAAAGTTATAGAATACTTACTCCAGAAACGGATATCGGTGAGTGATGGGCACTTCTAACGCAGTTTTGAAGTCACAGTCATTCGCCAACAGCCATACCAGCTCTTGAGTCAACGTTGTACCTGTAAAGAAATTTACAAAGAATGGTAAGGGGCCTCGGGCTGCCTTAAATAACAACACATGTCTACTCAATCGTAGGTAGAAGTATTGGGGCAGGCATAACACAAACATAATTATGTCCGGTATTAATCCACTTATATAGTCTGTAGACTATATACTGAATATACTTCATATATACATATTCAGTAACCACGTGATTTGAGTACGTAAACGATGAAAATAATCTTACTTAACATAACATAACATAACATCACCCCTTTTTCCCCAATAGGTAGGCAGAGGGTGTATCGTACGTTAGATACGGCACTTTATGCCACTGCACAATGTAACACCCAATTTTCACTATTTATGTTATAAGTCCCATGTAATTGGGGGTGAGCCGACTGCCATTTACCGGGCACAATTCCAGACTCCGGGTTACTACTGAGATTTTTTTAAAAAACCCATAATACTTTGCCCGACCCGGGAATTGAACCCGAGACCCCATCTTACATAAATGTTGTTGAAAAAATTGAGCATAATGGCAATAATTAATTTTAATTAAATGAACTCAACATTTACATTAGCGCCATTGGGTGTTCAAGAATCAATGTCAACATGGATCATTGAGATTATCGTTTGAATGCCAGCATATGCTATAACACAATAGAAAACACATTGTTCCTCGCATAGATCTGCGTACTGACACACCACGGGTTAAAAAATAACTAGCAAAACACTAAAATGGCAATAGGGTAGATGCTTAATTTTTATTTTAATGTCCGTCTGGTAGATTATTTTAAGTCATTACACACTTTTTTTTATTTTCTTACGGAAACGAATACTTTCGACGATATATTTATTTGAAATGTCGCGTGACGTCACTTCTATGTACACAAAGCACCGCTAATTAGTTCGAGGCGCTACACATCGACATTACTATCATTTACACAGTGAACATGTGTGGGTAATTTCATATTAATAGATATGTATAGAAACATTCGTTCTATCACACACATCTTGGTATTACATATCATTTTTGTGTCGGTATACGTAATATTTTAGTAAATAAGTTTAAATAAAAACGAGGGTAAAGATAAAAATACTCATAACAAACTTTGAATAAATCGAAATCAAAAATAATGAACGATCGAGCAATACAATACTTATATAAATATAGTGCATTCTCATTGTATTTTTATGTTACTGAATGATATACAATATTTCGATGTTCTCATCTACGGCGCGCTTGGCGCAATGGTTATCGCCTCCAGTGGTCAAGTAAAGTGCCACCGGATCGATTCCAGCATTCACATGTTGTTTTAGTATTAATTAATCAAATATTTGAAATGTGAAATTAGAAACAATTAAATCTTTTCTTTTTTTCCTATCCTATTTTTCTAAATCTTATGTTAATTTTAATAGTAAATACTTTAGATTTATTTATACCTATAATATCCTTTATTTATATTTTAGTTCTAGTTATTTATTATTTAGAATAATTTAGAATGATTGGAAGAACTTTAAAGTTAACATGTGGTATATAATTAATTATTAGATATAAATATTGAATATAAAACCACATATTTGTATAATTAATAAATTAATTTTAATAAAAAATAGTATTGTTTTATTTACCGACTGATTTGCTTCTTTTATAGCCTGATATTTATATTATATGACAAAAAACAAAAAAAAAATAAATAAGAAAAACAACAAGGTAAAATAAAAAAAAACTTTTAGCTGGAATAGAACCCACATCATCATTGATCCTTGAAAGACGATAAAAGCGTACTCATTAACCAATCGACCACGAGCACTACGATAATTACAGTGAAAATGTCGGGTCATATCAATGATTGTAAATAGTTTTAACCTTACCCATGCATTAAATTATAAAAATACGTATACCGACACAAGAATGAAAATACCAATGTGAACGTGGTGGACGAATATTTTTATACACAGTAATATGAAATTACCCACACATGTACATTGTGTAAATGACAGTAGTGTCGATGTGAGCGTTACGAACTAATTAGCGGTGCTTTGTGTACATTTTATACGTAGAAATGACGTTTTGGCTCATATTCCTAAACTTTGATTCGTTTTATCTAAGTAATATTTTATTTAACGACAAAATAAAAAAATACGTATCTAATATTTTTCATTACCTAACTTGCGGACTAATTAGATTTTTAATTTGCATACCCTGTCATCATCCCAATTGTGCTAAGTTAATTTTAATGTGCTTACCTGCCCTCTGGTAACTGGCCACATAGATGTCGCTAGGTCTGATTGGCAAGTTGTAAATGCTCTCAGCTTGCTCTTTGTACGCTCGCGGCATCACGTACCCCTTTGGGCCCATTCGGATCAAATCAATTTTGGGATCTAGAACACATTATTAAGATTGAGTACCATGATGTGTTTAGTGTAATACGTACTTTGATTTTAAAAGCTAAGTACACATAATTTTAGATAGATAATTAGGACTAGTCATAAATATTCACACGTCTTTTATTTAAAAAATATATTGTATACTAGGATTTTCTTGTGTCGTGGACGTGAGTAGAAAAAAATACGTAATTTACATGCACATCAGACCCAAAGCAGGAGCAACAGTTTGTAAATCACATATAAAATTGTTCCGTGCGGTTAGCAATACAATCATATTGGTGAAGGTAATATTATTTGTCTTATAAGTACATGCACATATGTAGTTGTTTTTTATGCAACAAGGCTAACCCATTTTAGAGCGTTTCAAAAACCACACAGGCGTAGTTTGTGTGTGTGCGCGCGCGTGTGTGTGTGTGAATTTCCTGAGTCTATAGATAGATATTTATATATCAAAGTTTAAGTATAATCTTGAATGTATGTCATAGAATTTCCAAAATCTTAAATCCTGATTCCTGTAATTGAGTTTATAGTGGCGGTCGCCAGAAATGTACCTATCTAATTATATACTAGATACATTATTATTTGACAAAAACAAGCCATGAATAGGACGGATATATAGCATTCATGGTTACTTAAATCATCTAATACATCCGTAAATAAATATAGCGCAAACGTGCAAATAGACTGCTTGTTATCATAGAAAACTTTGGTTTTTTCGGCTATAAAAATAAATTAACAATCAATTTTGGATTCGGGGATCAAACAGAACATTTTGTGATTAGTACTTATAATTCTGACTCCTTAACCGTTGAGGCCGAAAATTTAATAATATGCAGATAAGTACTTTTAATATAAAACAAAAAGAATTTTATGCAATTACTTACAATTGTAAAGCCTTTTATTTTCATCCTTTTCTTCTTGTGTCATCTCTTCAAACTCGTAGGGAAAGGGCTGATGATCCTGCTCCATTTTTCCCTGAATCAGTTATGTATAAAATAATATTTATTTTAAACACAAGAGCACCTTTACCATTGGCCGTACTTGACCAACTGAGGATAAAAACAAGTTGTACACAAGTATATATGTTAATAAATTCATTTGTTATATGCATGTACTTATTTTTAGAACATTTAAGATTGACGGCGCAACGGTCTAAATACCTACTCAATCGTTACTCAATTTAAAGTCGGGCTTAAGTAGTTATAGTTATAGTTCTGTCACAACACATTCTTTGTAAAAAGACATAGATGGCACGATATTAAGTACATACGGCCACACATCAACCTATACAAAACCAGTTTATCCTGGTGTCGCGTCGCATCATCTTTCCGCACATTTAACGTTCAGTTTATACTGGTTATGTAAAGCTCGATGTGTAGCCGTGTGATCTTACAGCTTAAAAGTGAGTAGCTTTTCAGTATTAGGGTTTTAATTATTTAATTTTCCATGTCAAATAATAAATAAAACATATTGTACATTAAAAATCTGCTACCTAATTGATTTGCGCGTGAAGGAGGTAAAGAATATAATGAAATCTAATACATATTATATCGAGGGGTAACGGACTATTTGGTTTAAGCGACATTTTGGGCGATTTTGAGTTATTATAATATATATTCGACGGAGAAAAAATCGCTGAAACCAAATAGTTCGTTACCCCTCGATATGACTAATTGACTATATAAAACAAAAACTATTTAAAATGAATGAATCTAAAATAAAAATGCAGGTGCGTTTTATGTGTATTACTGAAGAATTGTCATTGTTTATTCAATCGTCGTGGTGGCCCGGAGGTTTAAGACGCCCACTTCTCATGCATGAGGGTGCGGGTTCGAAACCTACCAACGGCAAGTACCAATGTGACTTTTTCCGAGTTATATGTACTTTCTAAGATTATTTAGACACCACTGACAAACGGTGAAGGAAAAACATCGTGAGGAAACCTGAACTTATAATTTCTAATTATAAGTTTGAAATCGCCAACCCGCATTGAGCAAGCGTGGTGATTAACGCTCTAACCTTCTCCGTGTGAGAAGAGGCTTTGCTCAGCAGTGGGCATTTATAGGCTGTTGATGATGACTGAAGAATTGTGTTGAAATTAAAACTTTTGTATTATAAAAGGGAAGGAAAGTCTCGTTATTTAATAATATGAATAGCCGATGAAAATATACACTTTTACTATGTTGGAAGAACTTATGTTTTTTTTGTTTTATTACGTATTTAACCATAAGTTTTGAATGGGACACCTTATATAAAATATTATAATTAATTAATAAAGCACTTTCTATTCGTACATATGTAAATAATCTATGTTCAAAATTAGCAAACCATTTATATTTCGTTAGCGTCGATTACTTTTTACTGTTTTTTCATGTTAATCGTGTAAGTTTTAACTATTGTCCATTGTTAAGACAAAACTTTATCTAGATAAATTATACAACAAAATGAAATATTAACTCATCTTATTTGAATGACGCACTTTGCCAAATGTAGGCCTGTTTATATTAAACCGGTTTTATAAAAAAAACAACAACAATCACTAACCTCAAAACTCAAAACAAAGAACGTAAGTCAAAATCACAAGGTCAAAATGGTCATTGAAAGGTTGAGAATTTGAGAATTCGAGATTTTATATTTATCTCATTAAAGATGATAGGTAATAATATATATTTATTTATACTCCAAAATATATACATTAGGTACATAATTATGTTTTATAAGATTTTGGTCTGTCCTTAATCGTATAGGTAGGTATTAGTTATCAAAAAATTCGCGGTATAAAATATCAAAAATTGGAATTCTTTCACAATTCATAATACACATAGTATTACGAATTGTGACCAGAATTTGTCTTAAAATTCGCGAATTTTAAGACAATTTTTTTGCACAATAGAGCTGATGCCGATACGGAGCCGCGGAGCACTTAACGGGTTGCCGAGCTCGAAGGACGGGCGTAGGAACGGGGTGGTTTTCAGTCAATAAAAGTCTGACACTCCCTCCCGCCTCACCCGGGCGGGAAAAGTCATTCGATGATTCTCCCTCCTTAAAAAAAGGTCCTACGTACAACATAGTGATGAAGAAAGCTAAAAGCATTCTTTTTTTCTTAATAATGAATGTTGTCGAATACCAATAATAATGTTGTCCTAAACAAACAGGTCAAACACACCCAGAGAATAAAAAGGAAGCGTATCACAACAGTTTGTGCACTTGCTGGGTTTTTTTAAGGGGGAAAAATCATCAAATGTCTGCTCGCGCCTGGGTGAGGCGGGAGGGAGTGTCAGACTCTTACTGACTAAAAACCACCCCGTTCCTTCTCCTGCACGTCGAGCCGGAGCCCCGGTTACCCGTTAGGTTCTCCGCGACGCACTTGCTGAGTACGGTTACGATTTAATGTATTTTATGGAGGTACTTTGGATTCAAAATACAAAATATTTGTGTGTCATACTCACCGCTAATCTTAAGTAAAAATTGTTCAATAATAAGCACGATTACTTCGAATGAGGCAAACGTTACTCTCACTTTAACTACACGTCTTTTAAGAGTGAAGGTATCTTTCCAGTAAACAGACAAATAAGTTGTCTTTACAGATAAAGTGTAGGTAGAGGTAGAGTACTTACGTCTAGGTTGCTATTATTGGCGTTAAGTACTGTTGTCTAATGCTCGTGTTATTGACATTTTGATCATGAAAAGTGATAAGATTTATGTATAATGTTGTATTATGTAGATTAGTAGATTTATGTATAATAACAAATGGAAGCGTTCTTAGAGTGATCCGCTTATTAGATCCTGTGTGTCTTTTGCCAGTATTTTAGAATTTAACACCTTTTGCGTTATGCTGGATAGACCCAATGACACAAATTATCAATCTATACCGAATATGTTTACCTAAAATCTTAACGTGTCGTATATTGCGAGTAAATAATGTTTTAGTTAAACAATGTGACTGGATCATAAGACATAAAGATCATCATTCAACTACGTAACAATTGGTTAGTTTCCTAAGTTTAAAATAAATTGTTTCGACTTTCCAATGCAATAAATAATTAAAAAATAATCATACTCTCATCTATTGATTTGACAATTACCTACTTTTTTGATTTTTTCTCGCTAATTTTAAGGAAATAAGTAAGCATACTTATTTCCTTAAAATTCAATATTTGTCAAATAGCAATTTGACGCACAAATATTGACGTCACAGGTTGCGATCCAATACAAAATTCATAGAAAAGTATCGTCGAGTAATTGTCAACTACCGTATTGTTTGACTCTAGACGCCAAATTCAGGATCGGTAACATCTCACAAGGAACTGATGCCGTCCTATCTATTTCAATGTTAAATATCATAATTTACCGACGATTTATAAGAGATTTCGCAGCTGTAATATATACCAAGAAACCAAATTTATACCAAGAAAAGTTAAGTATGTACCTGAATGTGATTGATGATTAGATTACAATACAGCATAGGTAAATGCACGTCAGGAGGATATCACAGACGTTTTAGTAACATAATTATTTTATTCTCTTATTATATCTAACAAATGTAAACTAAAATGGAATATTTTATGTTGCTATTTTTATTTTCCTTTAAGACGTCTATAATAATGAGGTAGTATAAATAAAGTTTTTGAGGAACTGACATTTGTAAGTAGACTTTGACTTTGACTTTGAGTACGAGTACATTTCACCGATAAGATATAGTTGTTACTTACTCCAAAAGATATCTATTTTTGTTAGTACGTAGGTAGCTATTGTTAGTACCTGTTTACTAATATCAGTAATATCTAATATTAAGTATGTAGCTACTAAAGATCACTGCGCCTGCTGCGCTGGCCGAAATTTGGAAAAAAAGGTTGTAAAAGGACACAAAAGGGGTGCTTCACAACTGATTCTGTTGATAGACTAATTTATTAGTGGCAATAACATAAGCAACTAATTGCCATTAACATTTGTTTTAAAACATAAAAAAAAACATAAACATCACCACTTTTTTTTTAGGGGGGAAAATCATCGAATGACTGCTCCCGCCTGGGTGAGGCGGGAGGGAGTGTCAGACTCTTACTGACTAAAAACCACCCCGTTCCTTTTCCGGCACGTCGAGCCGGAGCCCCGGGTACCCGTTAGGTTCTCTGCGACTCCGAAACTCCGACTAAATTTCACCACTAGAAACTAAATTTTGCCATATTTCTATTTCAACTTCTGCAGTGAAACCAGCTGTGAAGTCTCGTACACAAAACTAAAAATGTGCGAGCTCCCTCTACGCATCGCAGTTTAGTGTACGAGCCCTAAATAAATGAATGCAATCAGAACGATACTTGATATCCAAACAAGTAAGAAGGAAGGATAAATTACCATATCTGGTGATCTAGTAGTTGAATTTTGAAGTTTATCAGCCCGTCCTATAACCTTACTAACAATGAGGAAGTAAGTTGTCAGTCTGCCGAGTTAAATAACTTCTCGTTTCAATTGCACGTATTGGAAAAAGGTAGTCGGTTTAGAGCGGCCACACCTATTGGAATTCGTACGTTCATAACTGGTATATAGTATCTACCGTACTGGTATAGTACATGCACTCGTTATATACTTGTGTTCGAGTACGTACCAGTGTCTAGTGTGTCTACCAGTAGTCATTGATTTGCGCCAGTCCAATAGTACTTAGGTACAGAAAAATCAATGTGTTATTCGTTTGTCATTGTGAATTCCAAACATGTGTATGTGAACTTGTATGTTTGTAAACGCACCCACGACACAGGAGAAAATCCTCGTGTGGAGCAACGTTTTTAAAAAAAGAAAAAAAATACACTTTTAATTTTTAAACTCAAACTCAAAATCATTTATTTCAATTAAACCATAACTTGGTGGTGAAACGTCAACAAATATAAAATAAATAATACTCTGTCAGTCTGTCCGTCAGTGAAGCTAGGCGCTCGTTCCAAAATATAGATTCGATCGCGGAAGAACGAGCAAGATATTCCATATATTCTATTCGCTTAGAATTTTTACTATTAGGATTATTAGTAATGGTCTGGGATTTTGTT